ACCTTTGCCCCCCCCCCCATCAGCTCCCCCATTTTTCATTTCATAGATACACCACCTGGAAAATAACAGGACTGGCTATAATGTTGTTGTTGGTGATAAATTTAATGTTGTTTTTGTAGCGAGTTGATTTCATCAGACTTATGATCGATGCTCATGAAATGGAGCCAGAAAAAGATGAGGATGGCTTGGTGACCCAATTTAATGAAACTGGTTCTGATCGGACATCAAAAAAGGTTCCCATGACCAGTGAAGAAGTTATGTCACAGGTATGTTGTATTATTCTTTTACAAATTAAATTCAGTGCCGCAGTAATCATGTATATTTCATACATTTTTATTGACCAATACAATGTTATGCTGCAACAGTGTGGTCTTTTGTAACATATAATATTAACATATATATTTTTTATAAGAGGTGTGCATAGTACTCCAAAATAATTTTTTAAATTTAAATTCCATGTACCAGTGTTTATGGTCAAAGCAAAATCAATCACCAAATATGTATGTTAATATTATAATGTTTTGTATTTAGTAATTGTGTTATTGTAGAAGACTCAATTATGTCATAATTTCTGCCTGAAACCTAGTACCTAGGGGTAGATTCAAAGGGAGTCAGACAGAGTGGAAAAAAAGATAGAAGAAAAGATAAGAAAGGAGAAAAAGGGGTGCTTATACTCCAAAACAAACATTTTTTATTTGAAGTCCATGATGTAGTCACCCCCCCCCCCCATGTTTCTTTGATCCACTCCTGTGGCCTATTTACATTTGCATTCATGTGTTATGCCTTTGATTACAGTCTATTACCTTCATCATTGCTGGATATGATACATCAAGTACTTTGCTGAGCACTGTATGCTATCTCCTTGCTCTGAACCCTGAAATACAGGACAAACTCATAGAAGAGGTAGATGCCATCACAGAAGGTACAGAAAACCTGGAATATGATATTATCTCGAAAATGGTGTACCTTGATCAAATTATTCAGGAAGCATTGAGGATGTACCCACCAGCCCCAACGTATGTTGAACACTATATATATATTCTGGTTTTGCTTGAAAAACAACATCAAAATATGCAGCATTATGCTGAAATGTTTCAAATGCACAGTAAACTACAATAATATAAAGAGTAATTAAGAAACAAGAGAAAATACTATAGTCTCTGACCATTAAGAAAATGACAACCCAGGGTAGCACCAGCATAGGTGCAGAATCAGAAACACCCCTACCCCCTTTCCGACGAAAAAACTGCCAAGTTTCAGGAAGAAACTTTAGAATAAATAGAATGAGAATAGAATAGAATATAAATATTAAAAATGACATGACTGAAGAAAAATGTTGAAGAATTACCGACAGAAGAATCTGCTGACAACGTGTTTCCTGAACAATTAGTTGCAAATATGCCTGAGAGATTATTGGAAGAAGATTAACTAATGACAGAAATGGCTGGTTACAGAAATGAAGTGTAGATAAAAATTTGTCTACACAAATGATGACATGACATCATGACCATATATAGGTACATAATGACTATATATAGACATACATTTAATGGTTCAGTAACCTAATTCCACTTATAAAGCTCTGTCCACTATTAATTTTATTTAACAAAAACTATTGTATGCCCATATATAGTTATGATGTACCTCTATATGGTCATGATGTGATGTCATCATGACCATATTTAGGCCTGTCACACTGTTTTTTGTCAAATACAATTTAATAGACTTGATAATCTAATCAGGGCTTTAGAGGTGGAAGTAACGTATAACACAATGATGTTGACAACTTAAGTCTAGTAACAAAGATCAGTGAAAATGGTGATAAAAGGTGCAGACAAATTGTATAATAAGAATGAATGAAATGCAATTATAGGCCTACTAGAAAAACTAAACTGATGACAAGTAAAATTAAGAAATATATATAATAAAGAATCTATATGAAATGAAGCTTCTAAATGTTGCCCAATATTTTACTATGTTTATATAAACAGGACTGACAGGTTGTGCAGCAAGACTTGGACGAATGGCAAGTTGACTATTGACAAGGGTACTGTTGTTATGATTCCGATCTATTCACTTCATCACAATCCTGATCTGTGGCCTGAACCAGAGAAGTTCAATCCTGATAGGTAAGTCTGACAGTTTGACATATGGCTGTTAAAGCTACTGGAGAATTTTAAATACTAGAGAACCAGAATATCTCCTTGGGAACCAAGATTGCTCTGCATGTGGTGAACAGGTTGTAAAAAACTTTGAATGTCTGAGTGTGGAGAAACAGACAAGCTATTTACAATGGTGTATTTAAGGGGGGGGGGGGTGAGCAGGCAGTCAAACTGACAGCTATCCTCTCCCCCACCCCAGTTTTTCACAGTAAAAAAACATAATGGAGAAAAAAGGAATTGTATTAAAATAATTTAAGTGTGAGAATGCAGTTTCCGACCATCTAGAGGTGCTATAATCATAAAATTTCTTACCTCAACCATGGTGGGGCTGAGGTGGGTGGATCCTCTATCTGTGAAAATCCTTACCTGGGCCCCTTCTTTTATGAATTCTTGGATCCATCAAAATCAAAAGTGTTATTTGCAAACTGAGAAGATAAATGTCTTTATGATTTGCTTTTACAGGTTTACTAAAGAAGAAAAGGAGAAACGCCATCCAATGGCCTGGATACCGTTTGGTCATGGTCCACGGAATTGCATTGGAATGCGTTTTGCTCTACTGGTTGTGAAGTTTGCATTGACTTCCATTTTCCAGAAGTATAAAGTGGTCCCTGTGGCAGAAACACCAGTAAGTATTTACTCTTGTTCGAGGGATGTTGATCTATATATTCATATCTGTACTTGGAAAAGATTGAACATTAATATGTGCAGATTATACTGTACTGTAGACATTTTGTAATGAAAAGCAATTTAACATTGGTTTAAGACTTGTCCCTGCAAACGTATTGGACAGTGTGTCAGAAACATGTACATTGCCTGATGACTACAAATCAGAAAAAAATCTAAACTACATTGTTTATACACTTACTCATGAAATATTGCATTTAATGGAAAGATTAACAGATGTTTATTTCCGGAATTTTAGGTACCATTAGTATCCAAGGACTTTGGTCGAATCCTACCAAACTCTGGTATTCCATTGGGTTTTGAGAAGCGTGAAGGCATCGAGTAGTTGTTGGTATGAACTTTTAGATGCTTTGCTAAAGTCAATGTTTGAGGAGACAAAAATTAGCTTTGTCACTATTGCAAAAGAATGTCAGTAATTTTTGTCAGTGGTGGATAAAGGAGGGTGGGGGAAAGCCATCCCAGGACCCCCCACCCTACATTTTTCAGAATTATAAGAGAGAGCCATATCCGGCCATCTAGAGGTACAATAATCATAAATTTTCTTTCCTCAGCCCCAACCATGGTGGGGTTGAGGTGGGTGGACAAGACCCTCTATCTGTGAAAGTTCCTCCCTGGGCCTCCTTTATTTTGGAATTCCTGGACCCACTACTGGTTGTTGTCAAATAAATTTAATCTTAGATAGGACATTTATGTTATTTTTTTTTCAACAAAATGAAGACATTCTGTATGGATGTGCTTTTGTATAATATTTGTCTGTTTTAAATTAGCATAAGAATAATCAAATATATTAAATTATATTAAATTGCTGTAAATAATTACCATTATTGTTGTTAATTCCAATTTAACAGAGATACGATGCTAGCTTATATATTCTGCAAATCAGCTGGTTATGTTTTTTTTTTTTGTTTTTTATTATGAATAAACCTTTCTGGTGTTTCAATCATGCTTAATATCTGACCATATTAATTATTTTTAAATGTGGTGTGCCAAGTCTCATATCATATTTTTTGTGCTCCTTTTAATTTTTCCAATTTTAATGTTTTTAACTTCAAGTGTTACTATCTTGTGCAAATGCATGGTTAATTTCTAGATATATTATATTGTAAATATGTAATTCAGCTTTTGCTGCAATGTTGATGTCAATAAAGAAATTTGAACTTTAATTATTTCGAGATTAATACCAAAGTAACCATCATGTGCTTTTATAATATTCATTGTGTATTATGGAATATCCTGTTGAAAAATGTGTCCTAATGGGAAAATCTGAGGGTGTATACCACTTGGCCTCATAATAATAATCCTGATGAAAATACCTTTTTCTCAAAAATTTAATATAGTCATCACTATTTATCACCAGTGGAGGTGTAACGCCATCCAAATTTACTAGCCTGAAATGAAGTGATCTATTGTAGGCATATTCTGTCTGTATTCATTGTCGAATCTCAATATTTAGCAATGATTGATGCATGGAAAACAATGAAATATTGTTGTGGCTATTTTTATCATGTGACCAAACTGAATCATCGATTGCACGTTATATAACAGGGTACGTTGCTTGTGTCTTTGGACGAAAAGACCTGATCTGTGTTTGTCAATATTTACCCTGAATGGAATATATTCTCTAAGGCGGACTCTGGTAAATGGGTACCTGGTAGGATGTGAATGATACGGAATTACAATGGGCCATTCTGGAGTGTCAGTCAAACTTAACAACTGACCAATCAGGACAAGGCCAGGAATACGCGCGTGTCTCACAAGCACACGTGTTGTCCACAAACGTACTTGTTTGAGTATGTTTTTACACTGCCATTTTGTGTGACCTTAGAAACAATCTCAAAGGGGCGGGGATTAGCGAAAAGGTTCATTGGTGCAAAAGTAGCAGCTGCGCAATAGCCTTTCCAGAGTGTCGATCATAAGTATCTGACCAATCAGAACAGGGCCAGGGATACGCGCTTGTCCCACAAACACGTGATTACGTACGTTTAGGCTGTCGTTTTGGGGACATTAACAAACAATATCTAAGGGGCGGCCCGGGGCTTAAAGATCAACTAGAGCATGATTAGAGACTATTTTCACGGAGTGGAAGAGTTTTTCAAGTTATGCATGATTCAAATGTAGGCCCTACATCTGATATACAAAAATAAGTGACCATAATATAAAAAGTGACCATGGAAATCGAAAATGTTCAACAAATATTTCGATATATAAAAGCGTTTGAAGACAAAAAGACAACTGTTGTGTTTATTAACTTATTAATTAACTCTTTAATTACTGTTGATTACGGTACACTCTCAGATACATCGTAAAACTGCATCGTCGTCGATTTAATGCTTAAAAATATACTTTATTCGAATTCTGTTTAAAATTGATTTGAAAGATAGATTAAAGTTATTAACATTCAGTAACACACAATTCGAAATAGTTCAATTTTATTGATTTACAGACTTTTTAATACAAAATTCATAAATTTATCTATAGCCAATTAAAATTGCCTTGCAACTAAATATATGCTGGAACGGTATTATTTAATATCCATCAGTAATATACTTTTAAAATTAATTTCAATCCAACATTATATAAAATAATCGTTTCAAAATTATCATTATTAATGCTTTCATGTACACATTGGCCTTAATGTTCTATCAGTTAAAACAATTGTTACATTTTTAAAAAGCTAACCAAGATTCTTTAACATTTCACCGAATAAAACCAAGTGTTTTTAGGGTGTTGGTAGCATGTTGCAGATGCTTCGTAACCTGGACTTTACAACAACCCGGACTCAACCTGCAGAAGTTTCATCCGGACAATTCAGGCTTTAAAATGTACGGGTTTTTAAAAACTCTAAATAACAAAATGCCGACACCCTAAGATTCTTGAATTAGTTCAACTGACATACAATTAGGACCGATATAAAATCGTCATAAGTGCTGACGTGATAAAGATGACATAAGCAACCATTTTTTCTGTAGGTCTACATTGCATGCCTTTAGTGTTTATCC